CGATTGGTCGAAATCCTACTGTTACTGTTACGAGAAAGTGTGTGTCCGAGCCCTAAGTTGAGAACGTCTTTTACATCCCGCATCAGGTGATAAACTCCCGGACTATCCTGGAAGACCTTCATTTATTATCGGCGTCATATATCGGCGAAAACTTTAGCTCTGACGACCAAGTGTCCATTCAAAACTGTGCGACATTGTAAGCGTACGATAATCACGCATAATCACTCATGATAACGTCGTACCGTGTGTTCGTCAAACAGGTTTCTTTTTCCGCGATTCAGGAGTTCCGCAATTAAGCATCCGACGAATCCATCATCGCGTCGTGAGTATACACGGCACAATCTGCCCGATACGACGTCCACGTGCGTGTTTCGCAGTCGATAAATTTTATTATATTACCAAACAACAAGTTAATAAATATGTATGATTAGGTTTGAGTACGCAATGAACTGATTAATTTCCTTTTACTTTCTTCGTCAGTATATTCTGAGAAAAATATACGATTTCCTTATTGGTCACGTAAAGAAGAAGGAGAAGATTTGCCTATCAGATTAGTCTACACGAATTCATAGATTCTTAGAAGTACACGTTCTTAGAAATTTTATAAAGCAAGCTGATCAGTTTAGTTTTATAATCAACGACAATTGTTTATCATCAGCAACTCGCTATTTTGCTAGCAATTCTACTATTTTCTTTAAAAAATAGCAATAATGAATATGAATAGCAATATATTAAATATGCGAATTGATTGACATGTATATCTTTTCTTTTTTACAAATAAAAAAACAGTGAAAAAGAAGTTTCACGAGAAATAAATGTGATAAATAGCGGTGGTAAATAACTAATTATCCAATGATGGTAGGTATTATTATAAGACGAGTATTCGGTTGAAAAAGAGTTGAATTCACACGAGTTTGCATAATTACGAGCGATTTCTTGCTTCTTCATTCGCTCGCGTGTCGATGGAATATTCCACTTTATTTTTCTGTCTCATCTCTGTGGCTGTATACCTAGAAAAGGCAGATTTACAATAAATAGTTACACGTATATGTAATCTTTTTGATGTCATTAAATGTGTTATTATATTAATATCGGACTTCTATAACGTTGCTGTAAATGACGATGAAATATGATCGTCTGTGAATAGTGATAATTCCAAGCAATTAAATCAAATTGTCACGATTGTGTAACAGTGCAGATTATTTTTAAGTATTCTAATAACACGCATAAATTTTTCTTTATCAGATATTTACTTGTTTTAGTTTAAAAAAAACTAATCAAAGTAATACTTTAAACATTGTGTTTCTTCTTGTGCAATTTAAGCATTTTCATCTTTATTACTCTCGTCACCTATAAAATACATCATTTATCTTCATACATACATGTGCCTATAAATTAACTTTTGAACTCAAGCTCGATATTTAAATTAATCATATAACTATAATATTTCAATTGTAACACCATCGCGGCATCGCCTCACGGCGCGCCTTGACCACGCAACCTCAAGTTGTTTGCGTGATTCTAATTAATGCACGGCGCGACATCGGGGTTAAATATCCGCGCGGGTTAAACGGTCTCTCCGTTTGCGGTTTTGTGCCGCGCGAGGATCGCGCGAGGAAGCAAGCAAGACCGGTCACAATTATCGGCGGTCTTGCCGCTTTATATACCCGGTAAAATTACAGAACCGTGCACCGCCGCGCCGCCGGAGATGCACGTACGCGATTCATTCACGCAAAACATACCGGGCGAGACGGACAGACCGCAGGTGTGGCGACCAATGTCAATCCTGACGTAACTGCAGGCGACTCGATCTCGCGCGGCGACGATGATGACTCCGTGTGCAACGTGAATCGGACGGACAGTTTTATGCACCGTCTGCCTCGGCACCTCATCGGCGCATAAACGTTTTCAGTTACGCGACGACAACGGCGGACGGCTAATAAATCCCTAACGATTTATTTCCAGTAAATCACACTTGTTCCCGTCGCACGCTTCTCGTCGCGCCCGTTCGCTTACGTAGATGCAAATCCGGCGGCTATTTTTAAACCCAGTCTCGGGGAGCCTCCGGAAGAATTATGCTACGCGGGAATATATTTACCTTGCGGATCTTTCCGAAATTGCGAATCTCAAAAGTCTCTCAATCGTGAAAAAACGCAGTGACCGAGACGCATATTTTTCTTTCCCCGCGTTGCGGACCGCCAGGTTTTGAAGCCAGATTTCAAGAGATACCGTTTTTATATTGTATTATATATCTTATTTAAAAGAAGTCTTATATTGAAAATCTAAAGTTATGGAATCGTGTCACAAAGAAACGCAATATCTGCCATGCTTCCTCCCTTTTCTCTCTTTTTCACTGATTTTTGCTACCCAAGTATTTGCTTCGTCATTTCCGTAACAACTTACGCAATCGTTAAATAAAACCGTACATCAGCTCATTTTTACATTATGATAATTATACACGTTTTTTATGCGCCAAAATTGTGTGTTTTAAAAATGGGAGTGTTTCATCAAATAATGGCCGTTACACGATAATCGCGCATATTCTGCACATACGCGAAAAAAATTGTTTGTTCGGAAAAAAAATTTACCTCCATACATCGGGGGAACTCATAAATAATCTTATCACAAATCTTATATATAAAACATTAATTTTAAAATATTTCATGTTTTGTGGAAGTGTACTTAAGAAATCACATTTTCTAATTGCGAAGTTCTGCTTGGGAAAAAAAAATCGTGCGGCGCATTGTCAGGCTTAATGCACGCAGGTCATTAATTTTCTCGCTCAGACTCGAAGTTGCCGATAACACCACTAAATGGTTAAACAGACAACACGATTGCGATGCGATGGGTTGCTTATTCACTCCGTATGTGATTGCGTAACTAATTGATAGGTACAGTATCTTGAGAATCCATGTCAAATGTCATCACAAGTTAACCGATGAAAAAGTTTGAAAGAATTACATACTGACATGACTTATAAAAGCGCTCTCAATTTCTAAATTTTATGCAATTTTTAACATTTCTGATCCCCCACCTCCTTAAAGTACTTTATTTCTATACTTGCAAGCATTTATTTTATATATATGTTTAACCAAGAAAGAATTTTCTGCGTGAACGACGTGTTACGAAAGCGCTGTGGTAATTTACATTTTCCGTGTTATTTTGCAAGAAATGCGGCAAGTTGTAGGTCTGAACAACAAGAATCCACCTGTCGCTGCATAACTATGACGATTATACAAAGGCCGATTATCCACGCTGGCCGCACATGTTTCAATTATGAGAAAAATATTCGTAAACAGCATAGCAGCGCCGCGGATAATGCGGGATATTTAACGAATGATGATAGACAGTTTTAGGACTGCAGAAACGCATCAGAGGAAGCGAAAAATATTCATGCGAGTCCGGAAATGTTTTTCTCGGGTTCTTTTGCAACGTCGGGACAAACTAATTGCTATGCTCCAGCAGTGCGCAAAATAATTCCTTATATAGAACGCTGAAATTTGTAATTGCGATCGATTTTTTAAATATTTCAATTTGGTCGTTAGATTTTTTTTTAATAATTGAGAAAAACTAAATAATTAAGAAAACATAGAATCCAGTTGTTTTTCTTTGTCCCTTAATGTAATTATTGTGCATTACGATAAATGTATCTTGATTTAACGCATGTTAATTCATTCGTCGATCGTTATTGTCAACGGTTGACGAAACACGACATTCATTACAACAAAGACCCGTTAAACGGGGATTTTAGCGTAGATCGAGAAATCTTGCGGCAGCTCGGCCGCAAGATTTCCGGTGAAAACCGTAATTTCCGGCGAGATAAATTGACCGGACGAACGCGTACTCGCACTCTCGTATAGCACAGCGCGATCTTAAAAACAAGCGTCGTGCACAACAGCCTTGTACTAAAAATCCACCAAACCGTTTGCCTCTCTCGTCCTCGTTTAAATTCTTATCAATGCACGTGCTACATGCGAGCTCGTTACGTTTCGCGAAAACTAATTTTTCAATGTTGGCGCGGCGGCTCTTCCGCAAGAAAGGCAATCTTGTTCTTGCTGATATCGATTATGCGCTTGAACGTTGTACGAGGCATGTCGTGGCGGGGGAAGGGGGGAAACTGATTTAATATCGATCGGAGTAACGTCTTATTGATGATTATCCAATAATTACATGCTCTATTATACCCAGAGTTCTACGGGAGGGAAAGAAATAGCCAGCACTTTTAATATTATTCTATTTTTCACGGAGACGATAAAAATCGACCCAGTTTTAATTACCTTTGTACGTATTTGGAACACTGTAACTCGTTATCACTGGTACCATTACACTTTCTCCCGCGTATGTATTTTTATTAGTAATACTTTCTACTTTGCGCGCAGCTTTCTTGATCCCCGAGATTCTACGAGCGAGAAAAGAAAATCGTGAAAAATTCAACGTCGCAAGTCTGAACGATTGTGTCATCAATTTCTAATTCATATGGACAATCTATTTGCAAAAGAAATGATGTTTTTTATCACTTCAATTAATTCCTGCAGCGAAGTATGCTAATTTATTTACGTCATACTCTAACGCTTATCTTTCTGTCTTTTTGTCTTAATTTTTTTTTTTAATTGGACATTAAGAGAAAACGCACGAGAGAAAGTTTCTTAGTTGATATCTATTTGGGGACGATCCTAATCAAAAACTTTCTCGAAAATCGAGCTTTGATGACGTTTAAAAAATTCATCATATTCACGTACATATAATTCATATTCGAAGGATAACGAGCTGTGCGAGTTTGGTTGAGGTCACATAAATTCCGATCGACTCGAGTGTTTCCGCAATAATTATTTTGCGCATCGTCGATCGAGTCCGGAAGAAAAATATCCGGGGGGAAAAAAAATAATATCGTCATACCGATGTATAAGCCGCACAGTTTTCGTTTCGCGAGGCCGACAACCCCGTCGCATGCTATGAAAAATCGACTTTGGGTAAAACGATCATCCGTTTTATTGTTTCAGAGACGTATCGTGAACCTCGCCGGCGGGCAGGAGGAACGCGCAGTGGCGGAAGGAAAGGAGATGACACGTGGGGTCGCACGAGAGAACGGAGCCGCGATCTTTTCGCGCGCGCGCAAATAACGATCGAGGAAGAGGTGAGGTGTACGACGGCCTTGGAGGCGGCGAATGACAGCTTCTGACCGATCGACAGTCGCTTACGTAGCGGCCGGCTTAGCACCGACGATTTATTCGAGTTTCGCAATCTCTCTCGATCGCCGACACCGACCGTGATCGGCTATCGAGATCTCGGGGCTCTCGCTTCGCTCGGCCGGAGTAGGAAGAAGCCGAACTCTTCCCCGTAAATATACTCTCGTTTCCCCGAACGAAACACAAAGCGCGACGAAGTGGCGGCACGATGTAGCGCGGCGACCTCGGTCGAGAGGCGCGGACTTTCTTACGTCAAGTACTCGAGACGAGCGCGAAAGATCTACGAGGGATTATTCGCGAGTGAGACAAACGCGAGGATGAAGACGATGGGCGACGTCGTCGCGGATTCGATCGACGAGACCGACAGCACGGTGCAGCCCTCAAGCGCGAGCAAGGAGTTCGGCCAGAGAACCCTCAGGTCCTTGAAGAGAGGACTGGGCCGACTTTGGAGGAGACACAGAGGCAACGCGTCGATAACCGAATACGATCCCTCCTACAAAGTCGCGTATCTCGGAAACGTGCTGACCGGATGGGCCAAGGGTGAGTGGAACTTGAATAAATTATCTTTAGTTAATCAGAGATTTTACGAATAAGAAAAAGAAAGAGAGAGGGCAAGTGTTACTTTTTTACTGGACATTTTTTGAACATTTACACATTGTAACATTCTTAAAATTAACTTCTTAAATTAAAGTTAATATTTTATATAATATTGATATATAATATTGATTATATATATTGATTATATAATATTGAATTAGCAAATGAAGTAAAAGATTATGCCTTGTTTCATACGGATTACTGAAATTCTGACCGTTATAATTTGTGTTAACTGTTACATTCTGGAATATTTATATAGACAGTATAAAAGAAAAAATTTCTCATATTATGGATTGATAGAAAAGATTGCAAGCAAATTGTAAGCTATTGCAGATATCAAAAACATTCGATATCTTTGCCTACGTTGTCATTTTAATATGTATATAAATTAGTTATTAATTCGGTATAGGATAAATACATACATTTGAAGTAATCAAGTTTTACTCGTGTTGCATGATCGCCAAAGGCAAACACTGCGCATAATTAATCGAACTACAAACGCGCGTATGTATGTAAAAAAATATCCCTCAAGCAGTTATGTTAAACCGAGTCGATTATCATTTAAGATAAATAACGTCTACGAATAAACCGTCCCTTCGTTAATCGCAACAACGTCGCGTGATTAATTGAGCTACGTATATCTGAGGTTTGTCGTCCAAGTAATTATATTGAAAGCCGGATTTATCTTAAAGTCTATTTGTTCATATGCAAATTGTGGGCCGCATTATATTTGCAAAAGCGACGTACCGATATTTTACCAGTCATCGAGTCGACGGACTCCGCCGACGTTTCGCCTTCGTTTCGATCGAGTTGTTCCGGCCAATGAAAAAATTGGGTCGGCGCTCATTCCGGTGTATCATCGGTAATTATGCGTCCAGATAAGCGGCAATTAAGAACGATAGATACACGTCGCGCGTATTGCACGCGCCGTATTCTCGATCGTGAGCCAGCAGCCTTGGCGCGTGAATGACCAACCGGAAGTGCGCGATACTTCTTACGATGCTGGATGGATCAGCAAGCAGCAAGGTCGCCATTAATTCTATATTGGCATTCGCGTCGCTCGTGAGTCCCCCCTCTCGTTGTCTCGACGTTGAACTACCCTCTCGCGAGCTTCCCTTCCAGCCCAGGAGATTCTTCTCGAAGTGACGCAAATTGAACTTTCAAGATCAGTCGCAAATTCTTTGACTAATTTGAAGTTGTTGCCCAATTTGACATATGACGGTATAAGAATGCTAATTCGTCTCTTAATCAATAATTTAAAAAAAAAATATGATGTAAAAGATGATGAAATGTGATATTTCTGACGAGTTTCATCGGAAAATAGATAATATTTCATAATTGTGTCTTGTGATGTCTCCATATATATATATAAAATGTTGATGCGGCAGAAACGCTTTATTTATAACTTTGTTTACGGTCTTTCTTAAAAGAAATGCAATTCAATAAAAGTTTAGCTGTTAGGTTACTTAATCTTGAAACTTGACACGATAATCCATCGCATAATCCATCTGGAGGCTCTTGCTGAGCGAAAACCGGCTCCAAGTTCGTTGAAGAAATTGCGCCGAGAAAAAGTACATGAACTTAAAAAAAAAAAAACGTGACTTTTGTCTTTTTAAAAGTCGCACGTGATTATTTCGGTCATGCGCCCACCTTCCGTTTTATTCCATTGTAAACGCGAAACGAGACACCTTCCGGTTAGGTTTCGTCTTGCCCCGAGGACGAAACGGGGAGAAGAGAAACGAAATGTCGAAACGCGATCGAACGAAACGCGATCCGCGATAGCACGTGGAAAAAGCGTCTCGATGAAATTCCGTTCTGACACCCGTAGCGGTCGCCGTAGCGCGAGGTGAAAAAAAAAGTAGAAGGAATTATGTGGTGCAATGACCGGACATAGGCGTACCACGGCACGGGGCCGGCCGGACTTTCTCTGCATATCTCCGCCGCCGCCGCCGCCGCCTCGACTGGATCGGCGGCCTTAATCGTCACCGGCAGATCGCCTTTATTACAGTTTGCGCAAACGCCTATTCGGCGATTAATTAATTCCGTGACTGTCCCTCGGGGTATCCGGGGTATGCGGGGGATATCGTCGTTCGAGACGCGTGTGTTGCGTGCGCGTATATAACGATCGCGCTTCGCGGCCTGTATCGGCGACTGCATTTAAACCGTAACCGGAATCGGCCGATCATATTTCGCGCCAAGCGCGAAAAATAGGAAGAAATGAGATGGACGCGCGTAGTCGACGAAAAACTTTAATTAAAAACACGTATAAAAAAAATTATAAAAAAAAGACTTAAAAATGTACGGTAGAGAAAATACGATGATACGAGAAGCTAAGATAAGTTTTGAGACTTTCGAAGAATTCTTCGCATATGGGGCTCTTTCGCGCCTTTATTCTAGAATTTTTGTTTGGAACCATATTTTTGCTCTAAATCCGTGCGTTCTAAAGCCGAAGATTTATCAGTGAAATTTCCACCGCGGTCTTTTTTAAATAGGAGATACGTGGCCGGTATAGAGATGGCAATTTTATTTAGCGCCAAAATAGTGGCGCGAACACGGACTATAAATAACTTCGGCTCTTTATCACGACAGGTTTAACCGACGTGTTTGTATTTTTGATCACTGCGCGCTGATACATACGTGAGGGGTCTAAAAGCAAAAGTGCGGAGTTTCCGATCGAGAATAACTTAGCCACACCGACGTGACGTGCGTCCTACGCGTGCGTATAATTTATATTTCCTCTTAATAACACATCGTATAAGATTAATTTCATTACTTTTTAAAAATTATCCCTCCTGTTATTATACCGCCGTGTGGCTTTATCGGATTACACTGATTAACGGTGCAACGTTATGCATAACGAGTGGCAATGAGCGAACTCGACGTAATAATAAAAACATATGTAATTTGTTGTGTTTATGGCTTTATAACGACAATATAAAATATACAGATTTTTTAGATCTGTCTGTAAAAAAGAAAAATATGTTGTATCGGTTTTAGAACCGCGAGTTCATCAAAGACACCAATTACGTAATTCTGAATTTTTTTTTATTGAAGCAAAGATTTCAAACGTAAATTGGCTTAGGTTTGAAGCCCAGAAAAGATATGAGGAACACGTTAGCCTCGTAGACTAATACATAAAATATCTATTTTTAACTACTTCGAACTACCGTTTCTTTGCCAGTTCTAGTGCGCATTACCGATTTATGCTTATGACTTAGCTTTAGCTCGTGAGATCTATCGGCCTAGCTCCGCGTCGAGGTCGAACGATTCAAAGAGCAAAAAAATTGCAAAAAAGCTCCGTGTATATATGTGTCGTTACCGGTCCTTCATCGAATTCACGTGGCCGTTTCCAGTTTTGCCTCGAACTTGTTCTCGTCGACCTTCGCGTCGCCTTCTGGAAGAATACGCAGTCCTTTTTGTTCTCCGCGCATTTTTTATTAGTTTGCTAGGGAAAAGGTGCAATTCGGGAAAGAAAGCGCCGCATGTGACAATTATCCGTTCTTTGGCACAAGGTACTTATTCGTTGAACGAAACATCTGAATTTTTCATGAGATATTTTATTATGTGCAGAACTTGAATGTTTTGCATATATTGTAAAATTTTCGTTGAGAATCTCTTTACAAGATTTAGCTTTGAGACAAGATTATTCATGGACCAGGTGAACGAAAGAACATAATTTTCATGTTTTTTGCTGATATTTATTTGTTTTTAATCTTTGATCATAAATTTATAAAAAGACTTACAAATAAAATTGGAAAAACGCTCTCAAGATATACAAAGATAAGTAAATAGAAGCAACATGTTATTAAAGCGAGAAATATGAAATAATAATTCGTGAACTGAACGTGAACGGAAAAATTTGCGTACTTGGAAATACACGAAAAATTTATTATTTTTCTTATTTGCCTTATCTTAATTATATTGATTGCAAATCTTAAGAGCGTTTTTCTAATTATTGTTTGTTACGCAGGCCGAAACAATGCGTCTTATCGGTTTCTATTCTTTCAACTCACTATTATTAACCGTTTATTGCGATAAATATTACAACTATACCTCAGTAGTTGAATTGGTACGACAAACCTCCCCCCTACACGGAATGGGGGGAGGTTTCCAGGTTCGAACTCTTTGGCTGAGGTAATATTTTTTGCAATAAATTCTTTACAGTGTTTAAGTTTATTAGCATCAATTAATCGGGGAGAGATAAGGGATTTTTATGCTCCAACGAAAACTGTATTTTAAAGTCCGACAAGAAATCAGCGCGCTGCAATTGAGTAAGTTAGAAAAATTCGTGTACTTGAAAATACACGAAAAATCTATTATTTCATATCTCTCGACGTTTTAATAGTGGCGTGTTGTTCTTATTTCCCTTATCTTAATTTTATTGATTGTAAAAAGACTTAATAGAATTTTATGAAATATTATTAAGAAAAATATAGATAGTAGATGTTTTTCCTTCAGTTATTATCTTATTTAAAAATTGCATTCAATAATAAATGACTTATGTTCTCGAAACGTGACAAATGCATTACATGATCATAAAACTATATAAATTTTCTTAATTGTGACAAATGAAAGAAGGAAATATTTATGATTGAAAAATCCTTGGCGGCGGCGGCAGGTCGATTGAAATTTTATCATTAATATTTCAACCTTAAATTAACATCGCAAGAAACTCAAGATTTAAAAAATATCGCTAATCGTTTCATTTCCGGTTTCTGTGAAAACGTAATTATGCGAAATTGATCTCGCGAGCGCGAACCGCGAATAAGTATTCTCGTTTTCTTTTTTACAATCGTATACGATATTTGCGCGACACACTGAATACCGCGCGTGTAGCTCCATTAAATTCACGCTCACGTTTAGCGATTCAATCGCGATGCTGGAAAACGATAAAGAGACGCGTCCAGAATATTCCGTTCGCCGATAAATTACGCAACCGTGCG